TACCAAAGCAACCATACCGCTGCCAGGCTTTGGGTAGCTGTGGAGGACTAGAGGAAGGAGAACACATGGATGAAGTTCCAAAACACCACCACAAATGTAAAAAAATTATTTGCAGATAAACTAAAAACTGGACTTCATTCAACATCCATCTGGCATCTTGGAGACAGAAAGAAATCACTTAGGGCTCCCTGTCTTCAACAAATTTTATCTTTCAAAACTGCAAGTAAGGCAGATTCCGACCCTCTTAATGAGACTATTTGCAAGAGATTTGGGTGGCTGACATTTTAATGATATTTCTGGACATGACATACTTGGTTGATTACTTGGGTATAAAATAATGAGCAAGTGGCCCCTGTCACTTACTCCGGTTAGAACAGCTAAAAGCATGCCATTGCTGCTGTCAAAATACATCATAAAAGACTCATATTTCAAAATAGTTTGGTGTCAAAAGCTATTAATCATAATATCAATATATAGAATGAGGGAGGAGAGCAATATAAACTTCATTTCTCCCCAATATGAAGAATAAAAATCAGTCGCATATATACCTACACCCTTCATCATATCCAGACCCAAATCCCAGTGGAATCAGGATCAGGGAGTGAGGCAGAACCCTGCAGACCAGCCAACTCATCCAGAAGATGAGAGGTGGGCCCATCATGAAGCAGGGGGAAAATATCATTTTCACAAATGCAAAGGAACTGTGAGGTTCATAGGTGTGTTACTATGTGTGGGAGGCTGGGTGATGGCTCCCCAGATAGACTTCTGTCCCAATCCCTGGAACATGTGCTTGTGAGCTTATGAGGCAAAAGGGACTTTGCCCAAGTGGGTAAGTGAAGGATCTTGAGTTGGGGAGGTTACCTGGGTGGGCCTGATAGAATTGCAGTGGTGCTTGTAAGAGGGATGGGAGAAGAATCAGAGTGAGAGGAGAGTGCAATGAGCTGACGGAAACAGAAAATGATGTGGTGGGTTCCAAGGATGGAGGAAGGGGGTCTAAGCCAAGGAAGGCAGATAATCAATCACTAGAGGCTGAGAAAGGCAAGGAAGCATTTTCCCCTAGAGGTTCCTGAAGGAACTGACTTAGGTGACATGTGGAGTCTAATTCAGTGAAACAGATCTCAGACTTCCGCCCTCCAGAAGCGCAAGAGAATAAATTGGTGTGTTTTCAGCCACTAAGTTTGTGCTCATTGTTTATGGTAGCAATAGGAAACTAAGGCATTATGCAAACATATGCCGTGTACTTATCTCCATTAGCACTTTCAGCTACTCTGCAACATATTTCTAGGCCTCAAAATACTATTCATAAAGCATCTATGAAAGCTTTTGCCTCTTGTTACACAAAGTGAGAGTAGAATAAACTACTTTTGTCTTGGCACAGAAATTTTGCAATTAAATGCAACACATTTTAATTCTTACAGAAGGCTATGAAACATTATTAGTGATACTGCAAAAACAAAAATACACTTCCATCTCAGACCCACAAAATGAGTACTCTTTGATTACACTTCTGTTCACCTCCCTGTGGGTACCATGCTATTGGTTTTCTTCTGAGTGTGGTAGGAAGTTTCAGTGAAAAAGAAAGAAAAATTAACAGTACCTGGCCACTAAGGCTGAGAATGGAGTGGTAGGGGAAACTGAAGGCTAGATGATCAAGGAAGGCTAATTGTAGGCTAGATGGCCAAGGAAGGCCAAAGATACTATCACCTTCAGAAGGCTCTGCACTAGGATTCAGACGAGTTAGGAGTTTTTCCTTTTTATGGCATTGATTTCACTGTTTATGTCAAAGATTATTTGCAGAAACAGCTATAATAATCCCACCCTGTCTCCCTTATACTTTCCACGTCCTTGGTGTTTCCTTGCACACTAGCTCTGGGCTTAATTATGTGAATTGCTTTGATCAATAGAGGGGGCATTAGCAAATGTGAATGAAACAGACTTGGAAAGTGCTTGTGTACCTGGGCTTGTCTCTTAGTCCATTTTTGTGTTGCTATAAAGGAATACCTGAGGTCGGGTAATTTATAAAGAAAAGTGGTTTATTTGGTTCCACAGGCTGTACAAGAAGCATGGCACCAGCATCTGCTTCTCATGAGGGCTTCAGGAAGCTTCTGCTCAAGGCAGAAGGGGAAGGGGAGCAGGTGTGTACAGATAACATGGAAAGGATGGAGGGATAGAGGGAAAGGAGGTGCCAGGCTCTTTTTAACAATCAGCTCTCCTGGGGACTCATAGAGCAAGAACTCACTCATTACCGTGAAGACACACAAAGCCATTCAGGAAGGATCCGCCCCAACGACCCAAACACCTCCCACCTGTAGGGAAAAGAAAGAGAGATCAGACTGTTACTGTGTCTATGCAGAAAAGGAAGACATAAGAAACTTCATTTTGACTTGTACCCTGAACAATTATTTTGTCCTGAGATGCTGTTAATCTGTAACTTTGCCCCAATCTTGAGCTTATAAAAACGTGTGTTGTATGGAATCAAGGTTTAAGGGATCTAGGGCTGTGCAGGATGTGCCTTGTTAACAAAATATTTACAGGCGGTATGCTTGGTAAAAGTCATCACTATTCTCCAGTCTCAATAAACCAGGGGCACAATGAGTTAAAATATCTCCTTTGAATTTAGACTGACAAAGATATTGAAGGACATCTAATGTCA